ACCAGCTTAGGGGGCTGGTCCACAGATTGCACTGCGTGTCCCTCATCACAGCATTGGGGTGTTGCATCCATGGTCCCTCTCTGCTCTGTGCCTTTCCACAAGGCCCAGGAGCTGGAGAAGCTCCCCATGGAGACTCAGCCAGGGGGTAAGGCGGCCACATGTGACCCTCAGCCCCTCTGAGATGGAAGCAACCACAGATCCTGGGCTCCCCTTTCCCATCCTGCATGGGAAGTTCCCCTTGTTCCCCAGGACACCATGGGCTCGCTGGTGAGTTGTATTCTGAGGACCCCTGGCAGGTGTCCCTGTGGACCAGGATGTCCCTGTGGATGGGGAGTCGTCCCCTTATTCCTTTGTGTCAGGGTGGACTCTCTCCTTCCCTGGTGGTGACTCCAGCTGGGGTGGAGAATCCAGAGTTTGTACCATGCCAGGTGTCTGTGAGAAGAGGAAGGACACAGGCTGCCTGCCCAGCTCCCCTCGCCCCAGGAGAAGTCACTCACAGGGTAAAGATGAGGAGGGATGTGACTTTCTAGGAATGAAGGGGGTTTGAAGCCCTCACTCTGAGAGCTCCCTGTCCTTCGTGATGACTCTACAAGGGGTCAAGGCCTGTCCCTGTCACAACCATGGGCAGTTGGTGGCCTCTTCCCATGCTGACACCAATGCCTTTGTGTCTATAAGGAATGTGCTCCAACCCTGGGGGTCACATGGGGTGACAGGCGTCTGTCATGTGGTTTCCTCCTCCATTTAATGAGTATTTACTGAGCATCTGTGATGTGTTGGTTCCTGGAACTCAGAGAAAGGACATATGTGGGCTTCTGTGGACAGCCTTTCCTGTTCCCATCCCAGGCAGCTTCCCTGTGGTGGCTGCCCCCTCACAATCTCTGGGCTCACTAGCCCCTCATTTGTTTTGACCCCTGGCCCCTGGGGTGGGGACAGAGGGAAGAAGGATGGAGCTGAGGCTGGCGCTCTCCAAGCTTCTGCACTCTCTGGGTAGCCTGAGAGTGAGGAACCCTGATGTGTCAATGGAGTCATTGCTGCATCTCCCGGGGGAAGCACTTCTCCCCTGGAACTGAGGCCTCTAAGCCAGCAGAGCACAATGTCTTGGGGACAGGGAGCAGGACATTGGCTAGTGGGTCATTAGAGGTAATGATGAGTGGTGCCACTCTCATCTCTCCCCCTTGATTCCTGGGTCTGTGATTCCTGGGTCTGGAAGAAACATCATCACATATTCAGAGCATATATGGCTTCCTGGAGGACCTTCCCCAGCCCTGCAAGGTATTGTCACCTCGCTGGTGCTGTCGCTGCCTTTCAAAAGGCCGTTCCACTTCTCTATCAAGCCAGCTGCTTCAGGATGGTAAGACCAGTGAACTCCGCGGACAGGTGCCCACTGCTGCGTTTCCTC